AATATCATAGCTAGGGACATCACTGATGTCACGGTAACTGTGGTTAGGCATGAAGACAGAAAATGGTTCACATTTTATATAGGTCAGATTACAATCACACTCTTAGACCACAAAACAATCATTCTTCTCTAGTGAATAACGTACACTCCAATGACTTAACACAGTTACCCAGTCCTCCTCCACTTTATACGAAAATAAATGCTGCTTCACCTTTCTCAGAATCCAGCCTATCAGTATATTTCTTCATGGACAGAAAGCAAATGTTGTAGATTTGGAGTTAGTGGCTGCTACCTTCCTGGGCTTCTTTTGCTGAATTAAAAATTCTATGATTACCATCAAAGATAAAAACCAAAACAAAGCCAAGATGATGACGATCACTTCCAAGGAGAGGTGACAGATTGGATTAAACTGAATGTTATATCCAATTCAGTAAAATGGAAAAAAAATGGAAGACACTTCTAGTTAATGACTGAAAATTCCAGAAAAATAAGGATTATGTCTCTATTCTTTACATTATTACCATACTCCCTTAATCCAGTGAAGAAACTCAAATGTGTTTCATTGAATGAATAAATGAAGGTCTAACTTTCCTACTGTGTATGGCATGCTGAAAGGGACTAATTCTCAAATTTGTCAGCCTTCCTGCTTTTTTTCAGAGTCCTGTCTTGTGGCCACATGTAATATCCCAAGAGTGGAAGAGATGTTCTTTTGGTAATGGATTCCGAAGGAATTATCAAAGTCAATAATTAATCAGGAGCTGGACACAATGTGCACACCTGTAATGCCGTTACTAAGGAGACTGAGAGGAGAGAATGCCTTGAGCCCATGAGGCAGAGACCAGCCTGGGCAACTCACAAGACATTGCCTCAAAAGAAAAAAAAAATGTAGGAGAAGAAAGGGAGGAAAAGGAAGAAAGCATAAAACACTCAAGATGCTAAAGGGTAGATCATAAACTGTCTGCCTCAGATGGTGGTTTCTAACATAACTGTGTGTTAGAATCAACTGAGCAGTGTTTCTAACTACCCAAGCACAGGCCTCAGCTCAGATTTATTGATTCATAATCCTAAATGATTCTAAGGCACAATTCTAGTTTAGAACTGCTGGTTTAGAGCCTTAAAAGTTGCCCGGGACATGGGATTAACAACTGGTTTGAGTGCCAAGACTCTTCCTGCACCCAGGGCATAAAACACTAATCCATTACTGGGCCCTTCTTCACCAAGCCTGTACTCAATCAAAACCCTACTTCATTTTTTTCTAAATTGAACTAAAGCATACATAACCAAAATTTATCATTTTAATCATTTTTAGTGTACAGCACTGTGGTGTTAAGTCATTCGCATTCTTGTATAACCATTATCACCATCCATGTCTAGAACACTGTCATCTTTTCCAACTGAAACCTGTTAAATACAAATTCTCTTTTTCTCTCTTTCTGCAGCCCCCACAATCACCATTCCAACTTTTTGACTATTTTAGGTAGCTCATGTAAATGGAAACGTGTAGTATTTGTCTTTTTGTGGCATATTTCGCTTAGCATATGTATTTAAGGTTCATCCACATAGCACATTATCAGAATTTACTTCCTCTTTATTCATTCTTTCATTGATAGTTGTTTACAGCTTTTGGTTATTGTGAACAATGCTGCTATGAATATAAGTGCACAAACATCTGTTTTAATTTCTGCTTTCACTTTTTTTTTTTTGTTTTGTTTTTTGGTTTTAGATGGACACAATATCTTTTTTTATTTATTTTTATGTGGTGCTGAGGATCGAACCCAGTGCCTCACACGTGCGAGGCAAGCACTCTGCCACTGAGCCACAGCCGCAGCCCCCTCCTGCTTTCACTTTTTGGGGGCATATATCCAGAGGTGGAATTACTGGATCCATGATTGTCGGGGTTTTTAGTCCTCGTTCCCTCCTGACCTGCAGGAGAGATGGGGAGAGCATGCCCCGACCAGGACGAGCCAAGAAAGGAGAGGGCCAACTGACCGCCAGCACCCAGCCCTCCCTCGCCGCTGGAGGACAATCAGATGGGTCAGGGAGACCAGTCAAGGCTGGAGCTCCTTTATTGAGGAAGCACACACAGCTAATATAAGGCACAGGAGCCAATCAGGATAAAGGTCAGCAGAGTGAGGAGAGTTCACCAGTACACCCATTCTACAGGCAGTAGAATGGGAGACACGAGCTGTCCACCAGGGCAGAAGGGTTCTGAGCCTATCCTAGAGGTGGTCCAATTTTTCGTCACAACCCAAAGTAACATTCTGGCTGATCACCGGGCGCCATCTTAGCCATGTACGGCCCCAAGACCAGGAAGTGAGCATCAGTCTCCAAGTTAGGTTTCCTTTTCTCCATCATAGGTTACAATTTCTCTGATGTGACCTGCCCTACACACGATAATTTGTTATTTTTTTGAAGAAGCCAGGTGTGGTGGTGCATGCCTGTGATCCCAGCGACTCAAGAAGCTGAGGCGGGAGGATCTCAAGTTCCAGGTCAGCCTCAGCAACGAAGTGAGGCCCTAAGCAACTTAGTGAGACTCCTTCTCAAAATAAGAAATAAAAAAGGGCTGGGGATGTGGCTCCATGGTGAAGTTCTTCTGGGTTCAATCCCCAGTCCCCAAAATAAATTTTTTTTGAAAATGCAACCATTTTACTTTACTTTTTGGGCTCTATTTTCTCCACATCCTTGTAAACATTTGCTATTTTCTGCTTTTTTTTTAAATAGCAGCCATCCCAAGGAGCATGCTAGAGTCCTTTTTAACATAGTGCACAGTCTGCACAGTGACATGGGGCAGCCATGTCCAATTAAACCCAAGAGTGAGATATTATTAAATATAAATGTGCGTTTACACATCTGATAGTCTGATTTTTGAAGTTTTTGTTGTTTATATTTAATCTCAACTATTAATCCATGCATATACATATATGTTTATATACATATACAGAAAGTTAGTTTATGATTTTTCTTTTAATATTTTTTAGTTGTTGATAGACCTTTTTTTATTTATTTATATGCGGTGCTGAGAATCGAACCCAGGGCCTCACACATGCCAGGCAAATGTGCTACTGCTGATCCCCAGCCCCAGCCCAATTTATGACTTTTTAAAATAAAAAATTAAAACAAATCCACTAATATGGTACTGGTTATATCAACTGTAGCAGATCCATGCAACTGTAAAAAGAAGAGAGAAGCATTTTAGGTACTGACATGAAAGACTGCCAAGATATATCAGATGAAAACAGATATTATATGCTGCTATTGTTATAAAAGTAGGGAAGGTAGAATATAGAAACATATAATATTTGCTTGCATGTGGATGAAATATCCCTCAAACTTTTAGTATAGTAGTGCTTAGGGGAGGGAACTTAGATATGAGAGTTGGGATGGGAGAGTAATTTCTGTTTTATCTATCCTTTATATTTTTCATTAAAATTTCAACCATGGAAATATATTCAATCATCTTTCCAAGATGCCTTCCTGAGCTGAATTGTCCGGAAGGCTGCCAGCTCTTTCCCAGACTCTGTTGGAGTTGGGATTGAGAGTAATGTTCTGCACACTAGATGTACTTTGATGAGAAATGGAGTGGAATATGGAGGTGGGCGAGTACCATCTTCCTGCTGCTTAGGGCTGTAGTTACCAGCCAACAAGGGTTGAGAAGCAATTGCAGTGTAGGTGTGGCAGCTGGACTCTTTGTTCTAGTGCCCAGTGCCTAGCCTCCTGGGTGCTGCTGTGAGGCAGTAATGGTGATTACAGGTACTTCCTAATTGGATTTGCTGATCCCTGGATTGTAGCACCAGTGCTGTTTTTCATCTCAATTTCCGCCCCGCACCTCCAGCAGCCTCCTGATTCCCAGAGTTCCTGCTTAAGGTACAGGTTATCGCTCCCCTGGCAGGTTGGTGCTGAAGGTTGCTCAGACTTTCTAGAAGGCGTTCCTGGACACTCACCAGGAGTCGTCCACGCCTCATCCTTCCAAAAGATTCTGCAAGCATTCAGTTTCCTCTATACAGCTCTGTTTGCTTAAAAGACATACAGTGGTTTCTAGTTCCTGTAAGGACTCTTGTTAAAATTATATACTAAAAATTTAAATATAAAAATGAATGTCATCACTAAGAAAAACTTTAATTCTCAAAAAAGATTTCTTGAGTAGCGCATAATGTTTGGTCTGTATTTTAAAAACTCTTCTTATCTTGGTAAATCATCAATGAGTGCCTATTGGCTTAACAATAGATGAGATAATTTCATACGTTATCAGATTAGAAATAAATGCCTATGTGAATGAGAAGTTTTGTTTGTGTGCATGTGCTTATGTGTAGAGACAGACACAATCTGTTTCTAATAAAGTGCTAGAAGCAGAAGATAAATTAGAATATTTCTTATTCTTTGTTTTTATTTAACTCAAAATAGCTAGTAACATAAAAACATTTAAAAAATATCTCCAATACTTGACAATTCAGTTATTTTTGGTTGATGACACGTGATTACTTAGTTTTTGCTTATTTCCAACATGTAATGACATAATTTACCACAAAACATTTTTAAGTTTGCAGTAGGCTTTAAATTTACATATTTAGATCCTAATCAAACACCATGATGTAGTTATTAGTTTCAATCTTGAATATTTTTCTCCCACACAGAAATTTATTAAAGCTAATAACCACAACTAGGCTAGCTATTAATTAGTTTTTGATGAATGCCCATGTACAGCACACACATACAGGTAGCATATTTGCTTTTATCCTTTGCTACTCAAAATATGAATGTTCGACATACAGTGGAGTTACATCAGAAACACATTTAACTGACTACATGAGGTCAGCGAAGAGGAACCCACAAGGAAAATAACAGGAAGCCCTGTGACAATGCCACTAACTTGAATGCACGCCCCCCAAGTGAACCCGGACTAGTACTGTGCATGTGCTCTTGCTTCAGTCATCTGTCTCTTACCCAGCAAGCATCTTGTAGGGCTCAGTGTGGTTCTAGTATTTAAAAGAATGTGCTTTTTATACACAATTGCCCCCAAACCACCACCATCAATGAAATTTGGTCTTCAAAGGAACACTATTATCTTCCAACACTGGAGAAGAGACTTGATGGGTGGGTGTACAGACTTCCAATATGGTACCTTTTTAAAGGGCTTTCAAGGGTAGTCCTAACACACCATTTCCTCTTAGGCACTGCTGTTAGAAGTTCACTTCTGGGACAGGATATAACTCCACTGTAGTATAAATTAAAATGCCATGATTTTTAAATGTCATAATACTGTCAATAAAATTTAATTTCCAGTTTGGTTCCTTCCTCACAGCACAGTGTGTTTCTGTGACGTTCTTCTGGTGCCAGCACTTCCGAATGTACAATCACCGGCCAAGAAAATTGCAGGATGAAAAGATTAGTGTGTCATGAGATCTGAACAAAAATCCACCAAAGCTGATCAGTCTCAGGATGATTCAGGATATGATGTTCAATTAGTAAATGGTGCGACTGAAGCAGAGAGTAACTTCGGCGACACTCTGTGCTCCCAGCAATCTACCGTGACCTCCTTTGATGGGTTTCTAAGTTGGCAGCTACTTCTACTTCTTAAACACTCGGCCTTAACCTGACCACCACCCTGGTACAGTTTCTATTTTTAAAAGCACCATTCTAATGGAAACGTCCCTGCCCTGAATTAAGCTGGGACTGTGGATTTTACCACTAGCTAGAGCTGTTATGCCATAGAGTTTAGGTTAATTTGGTAGATATCGATTTCTTTGACTATGACTTTGAAAACTTGCTTCAGCTTCTTTGAGCCAAGTAGGATTTCTACCTGGGCTGCAGATGAGGGTAAAATATCCCATGGAGAACTCCTTCAATAACCACATTTGGAAAATCTGAAAAACAAAAAGGAAAACAGCTTTTCTTATTTGCATCAAAAAAAAAATATATATAATTGCATTTGCAGAAGTTAACAAGGTAAGGCCACCACAACCTAGGAATCTGCAGCGTCTTGCAGTTTGCCCTGGTTCAGGATGTGCTATCATTCATGCAGCTTCGGCCGGAAGCCACTTTCGCGTACCACCAGACGCTGCAGGAATGTGCAGCCAGATTTGTAGCTTATTGATTTAAGGGATGTTCTAATGGTTAATGCTGCTAGGCCCCAGCTCTTTATCTGAATGTTTTCTCACTAGGAAGATGGATTACTCTGGCAATTCAATTTCTAACAAAATCTCAATATACTTGAAGGAATTCCAAGATTTCTACTGGGAATACTTCGCTGCAGTTTTTCCATTGTGGTTTACAGCAGCGTTTTAGTCCAAGTTGTTTTGAGTATGCTTGTTCTATTACACAAGTTTCTAGAGAGCAGCAAGATGGGGGCCTTTCTTACCAGCCTAAGAAGGCAAATATGTGACAATAGCCATCCTGCCAAACTTGAAAAATCAGCCACTTCTTTTTCTGTATGATATATAAAGGAGACTCAGAGGCACACTGTATGGTGTACCAAATTCCAGTTGTCATTGCAGGTGAAACACAAATGGGTTGCTTGAGAGGAAATCAGTCTGTCTTATGCTTTAGATGCTTAAGTTCTAAATTTCAATCTGTACATAATTATATCCAGAAACTATGCTATAACCCTGCACTTAACTGTAAGAAAGTTAAGTGGTCTGAGACAAAGAAATAATGTCTACTTACTAATCCATAGTTAATGTTTACTGACTAATGCTCTATAGGGTGCCTACCACCTAGAGCCATGTACAAAGAGACTGGGCTTCATCAGGGAGAGAAGGCTCTCGGCAAAGACGAGCAGGGGAATTTGAGGCAGAGCAAGTTGATGGGAAAGTCTGCAGCAAGAGGGGGCCTGAAGGTTCAGAGATCTAAAGGGAAGACAGGCAGGAAGGGGAGCGGGCATGAGGAGGCCAGATGGCAAAGGGTGCCAAGTCATGCCTGGGAAGAATCGACAGCAATTCTGCCTTTATCTGAAATATAATGAGAAGCTATTGAAGGATTTTAAGCAGAGTGAGACAGGATCAAATTGTGTTTTGAAAAAATGACTCTGGCTGCCACTCGAAGAATGAACTGAAGCTAGTTCAAAGCAGACACAAGGAAATCAGCTCCGTTTCTGGAGGATCATGGTTGCATGATACAGAAAAGAGGCTGGATTCTAGAGAATGAAGGAAATGACCTGGTGATGGATCAGATGTGAGCAGTGAGGGATGACTCTGGGTTTCTGGATTGTGTAACCAGACGGTGGAGGGGGACCAGAGTGGGAGTGAAACTGATGATCGTAAGTGAAGAACTGTCCCTGCCCATGCAATGTAACTTATATGCTAGATGCAGAGGCAAGCAAATGAACAAATAAACAAAATACATCTTGAAATGTATCTCTTATATAAAAATATTAGAAATACTAATAGCAAAAACAGAGCTACTGATTGATTTTAAATAATATGCCCAAATGGGACATATACATGTAAATGGCACATGTGCCTTTATCCTCTGCCATTCCAAATCTAAAAGTTTACTTGAAGATCCATGAAGACACATCATACATATATTTAGCTTAAATAGATTCAACTAAGTTCAGCAAAAAGACAAACAAAACAAGAAAACAACACTAAATACTATGAGTAGTCTATAGCACCATTAATATGCCAGGCAGTAGCTCAAGGACAAAAAGAAAGCCTAGCAGGGCAGCTAACGAGGCTGGGGATGGGGAGAGGGGAGGGCTTCATGTGAAGGGGCCCTCTGAGGAAAGACCTGGATGAAGTGGCAGGAGCCAGCCATCAGGGTGTTTAGGAGCCAGCATTCCCACCAGAGGGAACAGCAAAGGCTAAGGCTTTACTTACACTTACTGTCTACCCACAGCTGAGAATGTACAAGACACTGGGGACTTAGAAGGTGAATGTGGATGGTGGTGGTGGGAGAGGCAGGACAGGTGGTGTGTGACCATTACTCAAAGATGCAAAGGGGATGTGCTGATAAAAAGTGAACGGCAGTGGCACACGCGTGAAACCCAGTGGTTGGGGAAGCGGAGGCAGGAGGATCAAAGTTCAAAGCCAGCCTCAGCAAAAGCGAGGTGCTAAGCAACTCAGTGAGACTCTGTCACTAAATAAAACCAAAATAGGGCTGGGGATGTGGCTCAGTGGTTGAGTGCCCCTGAGTTCAGTCCCTGATAACCCTTCCCAAAATACCCCAAAGTGAATGGGATGGAGGGATTTTATAACAAGGTTAAGTCTACCAACTCGTGATCCATGATATGATAGTTGGGGCTTCCCCATGGCCCTCTTTCTTTTTCATTTGTTCTACTCTACTTAAACTCTGGGCTTTGACTTCACTATACACATGATAAAATGTCTGGTGATTTGTTTGCCACCCCAATGGCATATATGATCCATGGCATGGGCAGGACTGTTATTTACTTTTATGTCCAATAATTTGAAAGTACATGAGCATGTAGTAATAGCTGGTACTTACTGTGTGCCACACACAGGTCTATGTACTTTGTTTTATCCATCAGTATTAATACAATATCCATTATTGCTTAAATTACTCAGAAAACTGTCCTAATCCTTGTTTCCCACTGAGAGGCAATGAGAAGAAATATAATTTGGGGTAAGGTTTGTTGTTATTTTTGTTGGTTTTCATTTACTTAATAAACATTTATTGTGAACTTAAAAAAAATATGAATGAGTGGAGGAAGGACTCCAGCAGGCAGCTCTAGTGAGCGTGCTGCCAAAGGCCCCTGAAGCTGTGATGTTCATCAGGAGGCCTGGGAGGTGAGGGAGAACAAGCATGTGAGCAGACCCGAAGGCTGAAGGAGGAAGAGGCATCAGGTACCTGGGGAGGAAAGGTTAGCACATTTGATTCCCAGAAACATTTCTAGGATGGAGGGGACAGAGTGTGTGACAAGGTCTCAGGAGACCAATAGACTAGGGCAGACTACAGGGGCCTTGCAAAGCATAGCCAGAGTTTGTGTTGGATGCAAATACAGTACTATGCCTCAGTTGCACACATGGGGTAAACAAAGCCACGAGCAAAGAGAAGATTATTCAAAAGAAAGCACAGTAAGAAGAGAAACCCAGTATAGCCTCCATCGAGCTGCCAGAGGTCTGAAGAAAAGCAGAAAGCCGAGGGGAGACAGTGTTTGATGGAAAGAACATGAAACATCTAAAGCTGATGAAAAGCCAAGCAAGATGAAGAATGAAAATTGTCCAGAGAGTTTGGCCACACTCAGGTCACAGGGGACCTTGGAAAGAGTTGTTCTGAATTTCCTAGAAAAATCAAAATGAAGAGCAAAAGGCTTATGGTTTTCAATCCATTATACAGGGCACCCTTTTGACTTCTGATGTTGAAAGCTATTAGCATGTTATGGAGAAGATAACGTTCAAATATCTGAACTTTAAAAACAGACACTCCTCTGGCTTTTTGAGGGTCAGTTATCTCCAAAGATATTTTCATATTCAGCATGCTCTGGAATAAACTCAACATCTTGCTAAGAGGCATCATAATATAAGAATGTGATGCAAAGTAAAGTTTCTCTTCAAGTAAAGATTTGCAAGAACATGTCATTAGTATGACACTTTCTAAGGTAACAGGAATCTAATTTATGAAACTAGGTTGGACAAAATCCAAGAAAATAGATGTGATGACTGGCCCTCCTATACCTGGTTCCATCTAACCACTAGACCTATTATTTCCATTTACTCTTCCAGAAGGTTCTTCCTGTTTTTGGTTGTCTAGTCAGGTGTACAGCATATAGTAGGTGCTGTTTAATAATGAAAGGGTCTTAAAGTAGCTTCCCTCTTCCATTATATCCTGGCTATTATTTTTCTCAGTGATCACTCCACTCTCTATATTTATGCAGGAATTTAGGTCAGATTCATGCAATACGTGAACAAGAACAATATCTACAAAAAATACTTATGTGGTTATTTTTAAGATAATAATATTTTACAAAACACTCCCTCTTTAATCTAGACTAGGTTGCATTAAGAATATTTGCTGGAGCTCAGTGGCAGGGTGCTTGCCTAGCATGTGTGAGGCTCTGGATCCTCAACAACACGTAAAAATAAATAAATAAAATAAAGGTATAGTGTCCATCTACAACTAAAAACATAAAAAAAGAATATTTGATAAATATAACATTTAACATAACATCTACTAATATAACATGCATATTTGTTAAACATGAAGAACTTAAGAGAAGCAATTATTCCTCACTGAAAATATTTTGTAAACAACAACAAAAAACCATTGTGAGACTAGTCTTTACATCAAAGGCAGATCTGATCAAGGTGCTGAGGGGTCGCTCAACAGAGCAGGGCTATGTTCCGGCCACCTTTCCTTCGGCTGACAGCCAAGCGGGTGATCTGAGGATGGGCTCCCTTGCTACAGACAGCGGTCCCCTTTCTCTTGCTGGTGATAAGGTTTTCTTGTCAGAAACAAGGGCTGCTTTCAATAGATCATTTATCTAGTGCTATCTAGTTGGTGTGCTATCTTGTGACTGTCAGAAACAATGGCTGAAAATTCACTTTATGCAAAAAAGTGCAGAAGGAAAACTCAGACAACAAGGAATACATCCATCAACTCCCTGAGACTGGGCAAGTCGGGACTTTCCTGAGTTCTGGTTTTCTGGTTGGGCCAATGATACTACCTGCCCTGCCTATTTTGTAAGGTTGCTAAGAAAAAAACGAGTTAATGTCTCAGAAGGTACTCATAGGGACCTGTGTAAGAGAACACTTTGAGAGGGACTCCGGGGAATTTGAATTTTGTAGTATAGAGAAAGGACTCAGGCTAAAAGGTTGATTACTGTTATACTTAAATCAATTAATTTCATTCAAAATGATAACTTTAAAAAATATATATTCAACCACCAAAGATGCTTCAATCTAAATGGGAATAGAGCTACCCTTGCAATACACACACATGCATGCACGCACGCACACAGCTCTTTTGGAAAACAGTTTTAAAAGGGGTGACAGTATTGAATTCGAACCACCCATTGCATCTGGATAAAAACAAGCAGATGCCCAAATAATATCACCCCCCCCAAAAAAATAGAGACAATAACTCTCTTTCCTCCTTACCCCTTCTTGTTCTAATTCAAAATAGCCTTCTAAGAAAGAAAGAAAAATTACATTTCCTCCTAAAAGGCCGGCCCCAATTAAAATTCTAAATGTCTCTTACACCAAGAGCACTGGTTTATTGGCAGATTATTAAGCCCTGGACCAATGTCACTCTGTTAGACCTGTATTAAAAACGTGGTTTATGTGGTGCAGGGTCAGATCAGTAAAGAGCTGTTAGCAGATGACAGGTTTGATTACCGCTGGCTGCAGGCAAGACGTATGGATCCCTGAGGAACAGCAGCACCGGCTGGTGGGACAGTTTGCTGGAAAGGTCAAGAACAGGCATGTCAGCATCAGGGGACGACGGTAAACAGAAAACACTACAAACTAGCTTTGAGGGGATCAAACTGCTGTGTGGGGATGGCTCAGGGTTTATGTATCTTGCGATGTGGGTGAATAATAGCAAACGCAGGGAATGAACTGGCACCGTGCTCATCTGCTAAAAATTTCTTTGTGGAATCAGAAGCAGATACATAATCTACACAATGCATCATTGCTGAAAATTATTTTCTTAAAAATCTTGTAATATGGTCATAGATAAAACAGTATTCTTATTACTTGTATGAAACAATGTCAGTCTCGTAATCATTCACTCTAATTATAACTGGTCCCTCCTGTAACTCCCTATCAAATATTTATAATCTTAAAACTAACAAAGGCTTTCAAGAAAAACACAACTTTAAACAATTATACCATGTATAATTATACATTTAACAAGACCACAGTCTTTTTCTTCCCCTGAATAACTCTTGATTGACTAGTATGAATTCTTACCTTGACTCTTCAGATTCTGTCTCATCAAAAGATCTAAATTTTTTTTTTGAAAAGAAAAAGAAAAAGACCAGATAAGCTGGGTCAGTGTTTATACCAACATAGGCAAAAATGGCCAGTATTCTTAGAGCACTAAATTGGGAGACATAAAAAAGTTGTGAGTTTGGAGTTCATACTGAGACACAGCATGACTGATGACTCATCCTAAAGAATCTTAAGATTAGGGGCTGGGGTGTGGCTCAGTGGAAGAGCACTTGCCTAGTATGTGTGGGGCACTGGTAAATATAAAATAAAGATATTATGTCCACCTATAACTAAAATATAAGTATTAAAAAAAAGAATCCTAAGATCAGAGGATTCTTGTATTTCCATTTTCCTGAAGATCACTTATGAAATCCCAAGATTTTATTACTACTTTGGGGCTTATGTAATGATGAGATTTCATTGACTGTCATTGCTGATGTCACACATATATGAACTTAACCTCCAGTAAACACAGGCACACAGGTTGGAACTGAACACACCAATGACAGGTTATTTGATACGTGTGGTTATAGTTCTGGTGCTGGGGCAAGTGGCAAGGGGCCCTGAGGAAGCAGTTCTGGTGAGGAGCTATGACAGGTGTGTGCAGCTCCCACCAGCAGATGGCTGGGGCTTAACAACACTTGGGGTGTGGGAGCTTGATCATCATGCAATTGGTGTGGCTCCTTTCAGGTGGGCCTGGAGGCAGTGAAAAATGGGCAAAACCCTTTCCCTGCTGACTCATTTCTCTGAAAATGTATTTGTTCTGACGGCCTTCTGAGGTTAGCTCGGCCCCATTCATGTGTCCACAGCAGGGCAAGTGGCTTGTTTCAGAATTAATTCTGCAGCTTTTCTAAACTGCTGGTGATATCAAGCCTCTCATTCCTTTGGGGACACGGACTAGGGTCTGCAACCCAGCCATTAGAAATTCCCAAGGGAGAGGCAGCAGTGAAGAAAGAACAGTAGAGAAAAAGGGCTCGAGCTGGAAGGCCTGGGCTCTACCAGTACAGAGCGAGATCTTGGGAGAGACACTTAATTCCTGCATTTGTGTTTGCACAACTGTAAAATTACGGATCACATGAATGTCTTTAGAGCTTTAAAATGATATGAAGATGCACACCAGGTGGATATGGGCTTGGTTCAAGCATCTAAAAGTTAATAAACTGTCCCTAAATGGACCATCTAGATTCATAATTCCCATCATGTACCATCCCTCTATGCAACAGCATAATTTAAAAGGTCAATTCCTTACATCTAAACATAAGTTCGTAAGCCTTGGCCATTTGGCAGCAAGATGGGGACTTGGAGGGAATTCCTCTGACTACAAGCAGGGGGCGAGCAAGTGCTGTCCCAATCAAAAGATTGGGTAAAGCCAGTCTTCTCCTTGGGCACCAATCTGGGATATTTGTTAGGCCAATGAATTACTGAAGAGTAACTTAGAATATACATCTGGTATGTACACAACAGTTCTTACCCACAACTTTCTGCCTTTGGTAGAGAGGGCAAGTGTCTCACATTTAGGAAATCAAGAAAGAGTTTGGGAAGTTCTTCATTTTCTAAAATGACAGCCTGTGGAAGCAGAAAACAGAATTAGAAACTGAAGTGAAGTTTGCTAGGCAATCAATCAAAGGAACTATTATCAAAAAGTCATAACCGTCCATCAAAGTCCTTACCAGCAACATTTCTCACAATCAATAGGAAGAGTGGTCCCCATTTTGCCCACCAAGAATTCAGGCTGACACATGTGCTATGTAGCGCTGACAAATGCTGTAATTTATTCATTCAGCTGGCATTCACAGAGCCCCTCCTATGCTTCAGATGTCGATCAAGGGACAAGGCAGTGGGAAAGCTGCTACATGTTGTCCCTGGCTTCATGGAGATTCTAATCTGGAGTGAATATTTCAAACTCTTAAGCACATCAATAATCCCACCAAGATATGTCATTAAATATTCCCTACTGAGTGATAAGTGGTCTGATGTGTGTGTGTGTGTGTGTGTGTGTATGCATATATATATATATATATATATATATATATATATATATATATATATATAATCTCCCCACAAGAGACCACTACTATTTAGGAATACTGTAAATAGTTTTTCTAACTGGAAGATTTAGTGAAAACCCTCAGCTATCACCTGTTTTGCACTAGGATCAACTGACATTTATTGCTATGTGGAGAGCTCCATTTAAAGGGTCAGTAACAACTTTACCCGCTAAGTGTAAATCAGTGTATACATTGAGAAAAAAATCTATAGAGTTCTATCATTTAAAGAGCTCTGTTAAATAGCTGGCATAATGGCATAAGCATGTCAGTATTCAGAGGTTTGAATTATGCAATTTAAAGGAGAACTCTGATGGACAACTATACAGTGCATTTTCATATTTATGTTTTTTTTTAAAAAATCTTTCAAGAGTGTGTGAACTGAATTCAAAATTGTGAACTCCCCTCCATTTTTCCCTAAAAAATTATGGAAGGAAACAGAAAATATAATAACTTCTGAAATTAAAATAACTATTGTTAAGAGTCCTTTTTTATAACTTATCATGGGGAAATTTTTTCCCAATAATCACATGTTGTTTAAAGACCAGTGAAAATTGATGTTGAAATATCATCCACACAGCTAATCAGGAACAACCAGGTAAGATAATGAATAAGATACACAGCAAAAGAAAAAAGTCAGGTCAAATTCTGTGTATCTTACATATATACAATTCTTCATAATATCTTGATTTTTATTCATAATTTACATATTAAGTTGTCCCATTTCTCATAAGGCTTTGGAATTGTTGCCCAGTTCAGGACACACAGATGAAGTGAGGGACTATATCAGTTGCCAGTCCTGCTAGACTGAGCTACTAGTGCCCAACCCTCTTGCTGTTCAGTTCTAGAGAGGGCTGGCTCATCTGGAGAGCCAGCACTGTCAAAGGGTAGGCGCTGTCACTATTTCTCACACAGTCTGTGGTGGCCATAGAAGCTTAAAGAATAAAAGAGAAGAAAAGTGGAAATTCTACTTTATTTATGAAATATTTACTGGGCATCTCTTGCATAAGAGACTGGGACACAAGTGACTTCTATGGTTTCAAAGGAGTGTGGGCTGGTGGAGAAACCTAGTGATGAACAAGTATACGCACGCACACACACACACACAATTTCAAACTTGAGTTTAATAATAGAGTCAAAATACTTAAATGTCTTCCCATGTATCCATATATATATATATATGTAAATATCTGTGTATGTATCGCATATTTATTTATAATATTCTTTCCCTGATTATAAAAATACAAAAAAATGGAAAGTTAAGAAATAAAAAAAAAAATAAACCTCTGTCCAGAAGCATGATCCCATTGCTCTTGCAATTAATTTCCTCCAAATCATTTGACCTTCGTCTAAATTTTTACCTACCCAGGGGGATTTTGGGGATGCCCAGAGGTCATTATTTCAGTGCCTGGTACTCAGAAGCTCGGGGAATTATCGCACATATGAAACTCCAAGGATTTTTTGCCAGGATACAAGTTGCAATGGTTATCAAGTTGTTAGTGATCTGTCTGTTTCAGAGGACATATAAAACCTATTTAAATAATAAAGCTTAATGTTGTAACAAATACAGAGCTGTTCACTGGGGCAATAGCTTTAATTATCTATACAAGTGGTAGCTTTCAGATTAAAAAAAAACCGGGGGTATCACATTCTTATCTCCACCCCCACCTTTTTAAAATAAATTAAATCAATAACAAGTGTGGGACACTTTTAATGACCTGAACTACTTAATTTCCAGGATCTTTAGACATGTCATCCATCACCGCAGTATGGAGGAAGACATCTCTTGAGTGTTCAGGGGGTTACTTTGGTTTTATTAATGCAAGATTTAGGGAATTTTAACAAGGTGAATTGTTTATTTGCCTTGACAGATTGGCTTACAATGCACTGGCTACATCTACAGCATGATCATTAATGACAAAAGACAGGCAAAAAGCTGTTTACACTGCAACACAGGGACAGGAATTAATCCTGCTCAGCCTCCCCAGAGTTCTCCAAATAGATGATCACATTGTTTTAGGTAACATAGACTGGCAAAAAAAGGATACAGAAAACTCCAGAAACTTGTATTTATTTTTGTTCCCTGAATATTGCCAATTAATATTTCCCAGAAAACAATGACCAAAATGTTCTTAGGATTTACAGTCAAAAAGAAGGAAGTCCTGGAAGGGGGAGGGGGCTAGTTAAGCAATCAGTTATGTGGGCAGGAATATTTTCTTAACTCTGTTAAGAGAGCTTGTATGAAAAGAATTAATACTTAAGTCCAAACAGAGATGAAGGGTAATATAGCAGAATTTACCTAATTTAATATAAAATGTACAAGTGAAACAACTGTCATTAATTAGTACAGAGATGCAAAAGAGGAATTAAATTAGTTCAACCAAATCTTTCTGTTCATAAACACATGATCTCACTCAGGAGAGACTGAACAGTGAAGTGGGGCCTCAAAACTGTTCCATTGACATTGTCTTCATTTCTTGAGACGCTTTTGCTGGGGAGGAGTTGCCCCTTCTCAAGGCTGCACCCTGGATCATCCCATGAACTTGAGACCCTCATCTGGTTTGGATCACCTATCTCTATTCCACGAATAAGCTCTTAATTTTTTTTTTTTGAAGTCACATTTTTGAACAACAAATCACATTTCCCCATTGTTTAAGATTGCTTATCTTTATTTTTGACTAATTTTCAATGGTTAGTCGTTTTCATTCTTTACAGAGTAGTGCAGTATATGAAGCATGTGGGCTTTAGAGCAAGACTTGGGTTCAAATTCTTCCTGTGTTACCTTAAAGGGAAAGGTCTCCAAGAGTCTCTGGTATACAATTAGCATTCAAGAGGTGTTAATTCTCTTTCCTTTGAACATTTTGTTGAATCAATGCCCAACCACATATTTTATCCATTTTGGAAGTTCAGGTTATTGTCCATCTAGTAAAAAGGGATTCTTAGCCTTCTATGATTCATGGATATTTTTGAAAACTGGATAAAAGTTGAACAGTTTGCTTGATTAAAAAAAAATACACAGACAGGGCTGTGGCTATAGCTCAACTGGTGGAGTGTTTGCCTAGCACGTGTGAGGCACCGGGTTCGATCCTCAGCACCACATAAAAATAAAATAAAGGTATTATATCCATCTACTATAATTTTTTTAAAAATACACAGACATTTATAATGGTGCTTTCAGAGGAGGAGGCTCTCGGACCACTGGCAGCCCATCGATGGACACCTGCTTCTAGCTCAACTGTGGCACCACACTGCTGGGTGCACTTATTTGGCTGGGCGCCTGACACCCAGCCGGCCCTGTGCTGTATGCCAGCTCCCCAAAGACACACTGGCCTTCCTGCTGCCGTTTTCTACTCTGTCAATTAGAACCCTGCTGGAGTGTGGCTGCCTGGCTATTAGAACTCATTAAGGTTTCCAACCCTGGGATGCATTTGAAAATATTTGTCTCATAGTGAGACTATCATGGCAAAGGATTCTTTCTGATAGATCAAAATCTACTACTTCACCAGTTCTAGAAAGTAGTTTATATTTGTGGCTTTTGAATCTTCTACATACAACTAAGAAATGAAAGAATCATCAGTAGGAAGGGTTCCCAAACTTGAAAAAATATTATGGAAAATGATGTTAAACTCTCTTGATGCTGGGCCAGGGTACACTAGTCTCCCACACCTGTCAGGAGAGGGGCATTTTGTTTTGTGGGGCAGTGAAGGGTCCTGGGTCCAGGGCTGTCTAACCCATTACCTAATGACTGTGCTGCTTGAGTCTTGGTACTCATGGCCCAACAACGAAATCACACAGTAAGACATCAGAAATAAAAATGAACATGAGAAGTTGGAGAAAAAGCGGGAAATAAATTGTACTGTAAGCACTGAGTAAAATACTACAAGAGGCAGAATTAATTACTCAGAGGCAGGACAGAGTGACTGTATGTGGACAAGTGCTGTGGGTCTCAAGTGGTAGATCACCAAGAAGTGCTGCTTCCACAAGGTGTCAAATGAGCTGAATCATCTTCTCCTCCACTTTAGTGTAATATGCTCAAGTCCCCAAACAGGGAAAAATAAGAGTATATTTAGGAAGAAACTCAGACTCAGTGAGGTCACCCAATAGTGGGTACTACTGGACTAGTGGAATGAGGCATGGAGGGCCAAGAGGAAAATGATCTTTAAGTTGGCTAACCATTCTGTTAAGGAGGTGGCCCCTGGTTCTTCAGCATGTTCAAAGCTGTTGAAGCAAGAACAAAGTATGTCCCAACCAACAGGGAAGAAGTCTACCTCTAAGCCTGTGCAATACAACTAGCAAAAGTGACACATGAATGGGGAGAGGAGGTTTCAAAGAACATCTAAATACTATGGGCCCTTAATACACATGCAGATGGGAGATGCTATGGGATTAACAGAAAGAAATTTCCAAGCAATTTATAGGAATATATTTAGACTAAAAATCAGATAATTTAGAAGGCATAAAAAATGAGGTTAAATCAAAGAACTGTAATAAATATATGATATCTTATGTGACAGACTTTGA